CCCAACATTTTATTCTTAGGATACTAGTTACACGATTCTTGATTTAAAAGCAAGTAGCAAGCATGCATAGCAAGGCATTTTATAATGGAATTCCTGAGTCAAGAAATCATGATTTTATGAATTCAACAAATTACCTACAGCTTATCCATTTTTTGTCATTGCAGAGGTAGAAAAGGCTCTTGAGAAACGCAACTCGCTGCCAAAAAAAGCAGACAAGGGGAGAAAAAGCAAGAAGAAAAATGAACAACAAAACGGAGAAAACAACGGAATTTCCAAAGAAGAAGCCAAAAAGGCCAAAAAACAAGAAGCAAAGGAAGCGAAAGAAGCCAAAGGTAGATCWCCTCTTGGTAAGAAAAATATTCCTGACGGATTGGGTCCCCCTCCTGAACCTCCTGCGCGTCCTCCCTCCAAGGATGATCAAGGGGAGAAGAGGGCTATGCTACCAATCGGTGCAGGAGCACCCATGAGTGACCTCATGAAGGAGCTTGGGACCAAATCTTTGTCAAGAACAGTGAGGAAAGAGGAAAGTAGCCCCCAGAAAGACCCTGGTTTGTTCCGAGAGCCTTTGCGATCACCTCAGATTCCTCTCCCTGCAACCCCTACAAGCCTACAGTCACGTCCACAATTGCCACTTCCGCCTAATGTTTCTCATAAGCCGCCCAATATGCCTTTGCCACCGACTCCTGACGAAATAAATGCAAGTATTGAAAAACAATCTCCATCGCGGTACCCCTCTAAGGCCTTAAATATGCCTTTACCACCAATACCAATGCAATCAGCAAAGCTGAAACCTGTCGACAAACCAATTCAGGCTCCACCTAAACCAAAGAGGTCAAAGTCAAACGATGAACTAAAGAATAATGATCCCAAGACAAGCCCTGTTCCGAGACCTAGGAATCGACCACCCCCACCCCCTGCAGCCAAGCCGTCCTCTGAGGATGTGAGTGTGGTCTYTCATAAACCGTACAATCGAACTGCATCTGACAGCGACGCTGCTCCCATTAAAACTTGGGGCGATAGACCGAAACCTACCCCACGAGCACGACCTAGACGGCCCGATGCCATGTCTGACGAGGACAGGCAGTTTTCACAGGGTTCGTTGGACGAATCAACCACAGAAAATAAATTTATTTCCAAGCATAATTCTACACATTCAGGTGAACCAAGAAGGAGTTCCTTCCCTGCAACGGCACCGACTTCCCACAGACCAACTACGACCAGACAGGGAAGTCCAAAAAAACCAATACCTCCTACAAAACCTGCATTACCAATAAAGCCAGGGGCAAACACCACCCATGGAAACAAGAAACTCTCTCCACAAGCCTTAAAAATAATCAAACTTTCAGAGAACAGCTTGGAAAAGGTACACACCATCTTAAATCTTTCAGGAGCACGGGAAGGTGATAGTCTTACCGAACTTGTCCATGAGTTTCAAGAACTCACTCTTCGTGTGAAAGAATCTTTGTCAGGTCTAACAGACACTTTAGCACCTCAAGCTAGGTTTAAATTTCGACGAACTGTTAATGATTTTGATTCCAAATACAATGATCTTGACTCAGTAATACATAATGTTGGAAGAAACTTAACATCGGTTGATATGGAACGAATTAATAAGGCTGCTAGTGGTGTAGCCGAGGGTCTAGATGAAGTTTGTTCGACGTTGAAAGCCATGGGAACATGATTGCRGCATTAGATTTGCAAGGCGTATACAAGGATGATTTTCACTGCTCTGGACTAGAGGTTCACAGTTGTCAAATATCATGGCTGCCATTTTGTTTGAATTTGACGAAAGATTTTTCATTTATTAGTCTCACTAATAATATCAACCAACATGGCTGCCAGGTTTTCTTCATTCTCTTGCGAATGATTCCTTTGATTTCTGTGTGGGTGTGCAGGAAAAAATGGGAACTATTTTGATGCAATTCTCTAGATTTTAATTTGATGATACCTATGACTGATGAAGAGGAAGCCATTTTAGTTTCTCAACTCTTTGAAATTACTTATATTTAGATGGCAACATGGTGGCAAAAAAGGAATAATAATTATAATTATTATGCAAGCTTAACCCAGCTTAGGCCAAAGAATTCCTAACAAGTATTGAACATTGCAGCTTTTTGGCACCATTTTGATGTGTGCTGCACTATGGGATACTTTTTCAAAAAATAATCACTTATTTCCATATTGCCTTGAACGCCATATTTTTTACCATGCATTTTGGGATATAGGCAATAAGTCGTTGTTTCCCACATGCAATGCATTTCATAGTCATGGTGGTGATGTAAATGGAATGCGAGAGGTTTAGAAAGATGAATTAATGGAAGAAATTGTAGTTATTCTGATATCAATTTGTGTATCAATTTATGACTTTGAATCAATGATATAGAATCCCATATTTGCTCTAAAGTTAGAAATGTCTAAATTTCAGAACCAGAATATTGAAGAATTTCAGTGAAATGTTGATATGTATGATTTATGAGATTCACTCGTGCAGAAGAGGTTGCTTAAAGCAATTTTTCCTCAAGAATAATGCTAAAAATGTTTCAGAAATTTAAACTTTACATAATGTTTGTGCCTGGTGCCGACTGAGAAATCTTAGTAGAAAATATCTTTGTAAATTGTATTTTAACTTAGAAATTGCTTATCATATAGGAGTGAGGTGATCACCTCAACAAAATGGCCACCTCAGACTCAAACTATCTTTTTAAATGAAATCTTTATTCTCAAGATTGTTAATTTTATTGTATCATATGTTTTGTTATTTTTACCAAATATTATTTAGATACTTGACAGTTTTTACATAAAATGATTATTATCAATTTTTCCTTTTCAGTTTCTCTAGTAATTATTGCATTTTGAAAATATATTTTAACAAAGATCTTACATTTTTAGATAACAGTTTGGTAATTGTTTTTGTGGCACGGATCCAGAAATTGGAGAATTGGGCAAGGGAAACTTCTGCATTTGAGGAACCTTTATGACTGAACAAAATAATTGTAAAACGGGGGACAATGCCCCTTGTGCTCACCCTAAAATCTGTCCATGTTTCTCATAGAATAGACCTCTAGCTTGGCCCATTTTATACCATGTGTCATTCCTTTGTGAATAATATGTTTCATTTGCATCCAAAAAAAAGAAATGATACTCAAGGGAATGACGTGGTTTGAAAGGGGCAAGCATTACTCCCCAGGATAGAGGTCTATTTAGCTCTGTTTTTTCTTTCAATATTTTGACTTTGAAGAATTCTTATTGGGAACAAAAACTTTGAAGAAAACTACTTCCCTAAGATATAGAATTATTTCAATTTTTTTAAATCTCGTGTTGTGGGCCCCAACCTGGCCATCACTTTTTTTAACTACACATAGCATCTAGTAGGTTATTTTAGAGTTTAATAAGGGATACTCTATGCTTACAACATCTTGCCCAAGAAATAATGGTCCATAGATCTGCATATCATGGTAGATAAGCTTCAATGACCTTGAGCTGTGTAGTGGCTCTTGTGAATGGGGATTGGGGTGGGGAAAGCGGCTCTTGTCAGGCTATTGACCTTTGATTATTAGTTTTGTATTCTGGTAAAGAAAGATATTTTAACTCGATGCCAAACTGACACACATTGTAACAATGAAGAAAACAATTTTTACCAATTTGCCTTTCATGATACTTTGTAAAATTAGGAGTATGAAGAAGTGGAAAAAAATCAAAATGAACTATTAGTGAAATCATGCATTCCCGGCAATTCAGCACAATTCTTAGCCACTAACCGGGGGGTGGGGGGAGGGGTGAACCACTTAACATTGCTGCTTGGAAATTAAAGCTATTTAGGCTGCATTCATAATGTATGGCAGGGGGGGGCAGGTGAAATTGAGGGGGGATCGGGAAAATTTTGGTAGGAAAAAGGGGGGACAGGCAAATTTTTATCAGAAAAATGGGGGATGCACAATTTTCATAAGAAGTTACAAGCCTGACTTTAAGGGGGGTGTTAAGAATTATTCTGGACATTTAAAATTTTCACCTGCCCCCCCTCTGCCATACATTATGAACGCATCCTTAGTTCGTGCAACACACCTCATATACTCCAGTTTCGAATTTTATTTGTTCAGCCCTAGCCCTGGTCAGTGTTAAAATATTTAGGCATTTGACCAAAAGCCCTGAAATTTGAATAGGCTTTTATAAGGAAAGAACAGAGGTGGATGAAAGGGAAATAAGAACATTGGTGAAAATTTTAAGTTTATTAAAAACTTGTTAGATATTAATTTTAACAGGACTTGTAAGAAAATGAAGCATTTTTGTCCTTTCCAATGTCTTTACAACCCTAGGGATTATATCACTATTAATGTTATAATAATTCTTGGTTATATATAGAGTGAAGAACAAAGTTGGTGTCTCAATTAGACTACTATTTCACAGTCTGAGCAAAAATCACTCTAATCATACTGATGATCATATCACCTTGAAGCTTATGTACACTTCTAAAACTCAAGTGAAGTGTATCAAAATCTAATACAGGCTGTTCAACTATTAACGATCAATTGTTAAATTAACTCTGCAGTGACCCGAGTCCTGATTAATACTGTTCTTAAACATAAACCTTTTTATTTTTCATGCATGCAACTAAACTATTCATTAAAAGTAAGAGAAAAAAGTATTAGTATATGTAATAGGACTCCATGCTGTCCAATTAAGAAATAATTCGACGAGGAAAATTCCGAGGACTGACAAAATTGGACGAGGCCATAGACCAATTTGGCAGTCAGAGGAATTTTTCGAGTCTAATTATTTCTTGATTGGGGAGCATAAAATCCCATTATCTATTAATTATATAGCTCCCTAATTAATCCCATATCAACAAGACCTATCCAACTAAGAAAATAATTGGAGTTACCTATATGGGATTAATGAGAAGCTGTATAGTGAGTACATTGTATAGAATAGCATTTGGTATATGATATAGAATAGCAAAAGGGTGTTTAAAATGGCTGATTGGAACAGAAATCAAATAGTAAAATTTTGGGATACAAATTAATGTTTGAGATTTGAGGAGATTGCCAAAGCATCTAGGGTAAAAGGTGAAGACTATTGTCATAAGCTGACAGTGCACCATTTATCATTCTATCTGTTGGTACTCTGTTTTAAGGGTAAAGGTATACATAAAATGGAGATAAGTTTAAAAAGTGTAAGATTACTTGGGATCAAACTATGGACCTCTTGCTTCTCTGGTTCTAACTTCCTGTGGGACATACTGTACTTAATAGCCTCCGAAACCCCACAGAATCTAAAAATACTACTTCATCGCTAAAATCTAATGTAAAGTGCTAGTGTATAATGATAATCATGTGAAACTGTAATATGTATGTAGCCAGAAAACATCCACACTCTTCCCCCATAGGATAGTACTTGGTTTTCTCTGGGGGTAGGGGTTAAAATTTTGAAATAGAAAAACAGGGTTTAGTTCTGGAACTATTTTGCATGAAAACTCAATAGAGCCGCTCAAAACAGCTCAATTTGGAGGTAAAAATACAAGAATTTCAATCTCCTGAGAATTGGAAACCTATTGTTTTGCTCTCCAAATCGAGCTGCAAGACATGCTGCAAGGTGTGGGGAGGGGGTAGACTCTGTGTGAAAGTGGGGTTAGATGTTAGGATATTTTCTGCCATGTCTGTAATGGGCTTACAATGCTTTTAACATGGCCAATGTTTCATGTGGTACTAATTCTGTTCAACCCAAGCCACCCATGACAAACTCTCTGATAACTTGAGGTGCAGCGGAGTCAAACCCTGCAATATCCAGCATACCGCTATCCTCTGGGTCGGCCAGAGTAAAGCCATTGGATGTCATGGCAACGACAATGAGTTTGGCGTCAATCTGCATTTGTTCACGGTATTTCTTTAGGGCAGCACTTGGGTGGATTTTACCAGAATGAGTCTCACAGTCAGTATAGATGATAAAGACGTCAACTTTGAGTTTCTTTTTCGTGGCATAAAGCATTGGCTGAGCACAGTCTGTTCCACCCATTGAAATCTGGGAGCAAAAAGAAAAAGGATAAGCACAAAATACACAATTTTTTTTTTCAATGAAAAATGTAGTCACTCTTTTCATACAGTCATTCGCTTGAATATTCATTTATTCTTTTGGGAAAACAGTAATAGAACGAGGAAGTGAAATGAGTAATGAAAGTTACCTAATGAAACAGTAAGAATGTGATTGTTGGCACTTTCACTTTAGGTCATTTCCTGTCTCATGTGGAAATGTTCATCAGCTGAATCATAAGTTTTCAATAGCATTTATTCTGGCTGACAGCACATGGTGGTCAGTATTTGACTACCATGTGCTGAGAATACGAAGACTTTTATCATTTAATTGGAATGCTTTCAAACAACATACATGTGAGATTGTCTGCATGACAGTTTCTAGTTTGTCTGTTTTCTTGATGTTGATTGGGACCAGTTCGTGGGAGAATCCAACAAAATGGTGCTTTGTTTCAGTGCGTGCTGTGACCATGGCCATAGCTGCAGTGGCTACCGCAGGTGTTATACCAGGAGTGCCAACACAGTTTCCCCAGGACATGGAACCACTGACATCAAGTGCCAAAAGAAATCTCTTATTGGTTGGTTCAACTGCCTAAAAAAAATACAAAAAAAACTTGTCACCAGTTCAAATAATAATTAACTGTAATGCATTATAGGAGTCTTAGCTCAGGTGTGGCTTGGTTCATGGCTGGCCTGCCATTATCAAAACAATAAGTCCTTTTTTTGAAAATGCGTGGTTCCAGACAATGTCCATACCCCACCATGGAGGAAATTTGATAAAAAGGTCCCCCCCACCCTTCTGGAATTTCCAATTTTCTTCAATACAAACCTTGTAATTTGGTTTTCCCTATAACCACCCGACCCCTGGGAAATTCTGATTTTCTCCTTGATGGGGTAAGGACATATCTTGAAACCAAGCAATCTGCTTTGGCAAGTAGACAGCTACAACCTAACTCACTTTATAGTATATTAAATGTATTACCTTGAATGAAAGATAGTATGCGTCATCTAATGCTGAAGAGATCATCGAATTTGGCTCCCACGACAACTTTCCTTTATCCCCATGCCCTTGGCCATAAAGCTTCAACGCCACCAGAACATTAAATGGGTGGATACGAGCAGCCTTTAAAGCTTCCATGTCTCTGAGCTTTGTGGTGACTTTGTCTGCTTCATCTGTGAGAGGTTCGAGGATGCCAATAGATGTCATCTTGCCCAGATTTCTGATCATGGCTGTCATCGGCATTTTCTCAAGAAGAGCTTTCCAAATCTACGATTTTAAAACAAATAAACTTATTCATTCTCGTGTGAATAGGCATAAGGATAAGCATAATAGTCATAATAATTGTTAGGGGGGAGGGCAGGTACAGTATGCGAGAAACCAGTATAAAACATTAGTTGCCAAGCCCAGGAATTGAACTGGATACCCTGGAAGTTAGACAACCTTGATTCCCCTATTTAGGACCCAGGGAGGTACATTGTACTCCCCTGGATTTGCTATAGGGGTGTGTGCCGCCAAACAGGGTATGGTTTTCAGCGATTCTACTCTGCAACAGGGTAAATAAATTGCGCTTGCTCTCTGGAAAAGTGTATGTGAAGTCACATACTTTCTCTCTGGAACAGGTTATCTATTTTTGCAAATATGGAAAAGATTTTTTCCACATACGATCTTACTCTGTAACAGGGTATGAATTTTAGCAATTTTACTCTGGAACAGGGTCAGGGTGGAGAGGGCTCAGCGGCACATTCCTACCCTAAATGGTCAAGAGTATCCCCCCCCCCCCCTCCAGGGTTTAGGACACAGATACTGGTTTTTGCAGAGGGAGTAGAAACGAACGTCAAAAAAACCAATTCAAACAAAATTAATTTTTGAGAACACATACTGTGACCCTTCCATTCCTTAAACAAAGTAAATGTACTTACCTCTGGCGACTTTAGCTTGTCTGTTGGAATGTGCTCACGTACAAGTCCATGCCCTCTAATGGCTGCAGTAAGTTCATCTTCATTCATATCCTTTGCACGCTCCACCACATCTAAGAACTCATAGACATTTGAGATGTCTTGGCTTACTCCTGGCAATGAAGCCTGTTTCTTCAACTCATCTGTCAGGCCTTTAACGACATACCTGACTACGAATTGCACCGATGGGTTGTCAGGCTTGATGTGGCATAGACGGAATAGGTCCCTATGTGACCAACCGTTGCGCTGCTTGTACTTAGTGACATGCATTGCCAGGTTTTTAGCTTTTTTCTGGGTGTACCACTTACAGATAGCCTTCCTGTGTGCTCTTCCCCATCCAGTCTTGGGTTTACTCAGATTCTCACAATTTTCCACAAATATGAATAAGTGGGTGGGTATTCTGAGTATGTCATTGAGCACCTCGTAGGCCTTGCGCTTCGTATTCAAGTCACTACATCGGGCAAACATGGCAAGAGCAAAGATGATAGGATCTTGTTTGGCTGTCCTGCCTTCTACGCTGTACTCCTTGATGACCTCCACAGCTTCAGGTCCTTTGCCTTCCTCAATCAATGCCATCAAACAAGTCGCATTCTGTTGAGAAAGCTCTTTCTCACCAGCATAGTACGTGCCTCCTTCGCTCCCTAGCACAATAAACCTCTTCAAACGGCACATGTTGTCTACGACAAATGTATAACCTCCGGCTTCGTTTTTCACTTGCTTTGTACTCAAAGGCTCATTCTGGGGGGCCGTTTCGTCGTCTGCGTTATGCATTTCCACGTCGAGCGGTCTCTGTTGCTGCTGTATTGACATCTTTTTCACGACTCTAACGCTGATTAACGACTAAAATCGAAGTTTAGAAATATTCCAACAGTTAAACTCACTGTAATTTGTTAACTCGGGAGCAATTCCAAGAAGAAAATTAACAAATTTGGAAGATTTTGCGAAGTTCTTGAAAACAGCTCGTTTTTCTTTGTCGTCTTCCCGAGTTTATTATTTTTCACGGACCGTGTCTTCAACAAACAGTCGATTTGTGAAAATTACAAACTGGGTTTGCTTTTAAAAGACTTTAAATTCGTCAAGCTAAGCGATATTCGAGAAATTAGAAAAATTTGCTTGATAACGATAGGAAAATGCTTCCGAAGCGTTATTTCTCGAGGAGAGGCGAGCAGCACGTAGGCATTTTGTCTGCGCATGCGTGCAAATATAAGTTTTAATAGAAAAACCGCTGAATTGAGCCTGCAGAGATTGCCCAAGATGGCGGAATATTTTCTGTCTAACAGCGCTTCTTTACTAGTTCTCTGTGTACTTTGGAGACCATTTAAAACGCTATCGAATGGATATTTTATTGCCTTATGAAAAAGGTTGTCGCTAGGTCGTTATTTTACTCTTTATTTTAATAAAATCATGTAGAAATTTCAACGTTGAGAACGAGAGATTAGTGTTGAAAGGCGCTAAAATAGATAGAGGTAAGGGAGGTAACTCGGTTAATTCTTTCTTAATGACAAGATTGATGGTTTATTCCTAAATTAAATTAACCTACAATCACCGCGTTGGGGTAGAGTCGTGAATAATTATTATTTCACTGTACAAGWACTGTACTTGTTTTCATCTTGCAAGCATATTTGAAAGTGGTTACAATCATAGAAAATTCTCTAACTGGTAAAATTTCCTTTTTTACTCATGTTTCATGGTTAGACTGACTTAATATATAAGAGAAAGAAAAGGCCCAATAAAGTATATATGCACTTGCCGTAAATCCTCTATTAAGCATCCCCTCTCGAATAAACCCTCCCTTTCTAATAAGTAACCCCCTTTCTAAAGAAAGAATTTTTTAAAGCCAAACCTTCCCAATTAAAGAAACGTATACTGATTAAATGTGATTTATTAAAGTCTTGATAGTTCACCAACATGTTAAATCAMACTAATTTGGCCCTTATTTKYGGTTGCATGACCTTCCCACTTCAGTTTTTCCCACTCTGCACTCTAGTTCCTTGTGAATTTAACAAATCGAAGTCAGGTTTCTATGGGTCTGTACAGTAATCGAACGTGGTGAAATGACGAACCTGACAGCTTAGA